ATGCTGCGAAATTGAATAAAAAATGAGGCCAGTGTCCTGATTTTGAATTAAAAAAAGTTATGAGCACCTTTTTATGGGTGCGCAATTTGTCAGGTGCTGAGACAATTTGAACAATAGATCAGTTTTTTTGAAAAGATTACGGTATCTCTTTGACACTCTAGCATATTTTCTACGGAATCTTTCCTTATCACCAATACGCGGCGTGGTATACTTATGCTAAGAGTTAAATGGTTTAACGTCACCGGTATACTTCGTGCACCCAATATTAGGAAAGCGTACTGATTAACACACGGACAAGCAGCAAATTTTGATTTCAGAACATCAGTTAATTAGAACCGTTCTTTTGATTAAGCATGGAACTCAGTCACAAACATTTTGCCTCAGGATTGAAAATATCTACACTAATTTGCTAGAAATTAGGCGTTTATTTCAAACTAGGACTTGACATCTTCATTGCTGATGGTCAAGTGGGCACTTCATGATACAAAGATATGCTACCTTCTCAGAAAGTATGCTACCCGATTAATGGCGTTGGAGAACTACGTGATATTTTCAAGTGCGTATTGCTTTAGATGTTGATTCCTTGAAGTTATATTAGCGCGAGAGCTGCTACAAATGCGTCTGTGCGTGTTTATTACACATATCGGCACAGAGGTGGTAATAAAGCACCAACAGCCTCTCGTACCTTGAAAATATACTGCCGCTCCATGTTCCTGCCAATTTCTGTGCGTTATAATTAATGTTCTCTGAAAATTCACAATGCAATATCTACAAAAACAACTTAGCTTTCATGCACCGCCGCGGTGGTCTATTGGCTAAGGCACTCGGCTGCTGACCCGCAGGTCGCGAGATTGAATCCCGGCTGTGGCGGCTGCATTTTCGATGAAGGCGAAAATGTTGTAGTCCCGTGTGCTCAGATTTGGCTGCACGTTAATGCACCCCAGGTGGTCGAAATTTCCGGAGCCCTCCACTATGGCGTCTCTCATATTCATATGGTGGTTTTGGGACGTTAAACCCCACATATTTATCTAACTTAGCTTTCATAGCACTTGCTGCATAGCGCAATGCTAGCGTTCAGTCACGAAGGTGGAGTTTACCCTTATCTGCAACGGTAATTCGCAATCCAGACTTTTTAGAACAGTTGCGCATTATCTAGTTAGGTTTGTAAGATTATCGATATATCTGAAACTATCATACGTTTCCTATGCTTAACAATTAATGTTTTGGTGCTCCACTGTGCCCTGAGAATAGGGCTGGTGGACAAACGGCAGCATCCCGCTTTCACCACTGAACTGTATTTCGCGTCTTTACAATCAGATACGTGGCTTCTGAGACTCAGTAGTTTCAAACATCTGCACTTGGACATTTGCACCTACATGTTCTCGCCTGATTTACCACGGGCTTTCTACATATGCGGTTGATTGAGTATGTCGGTATACGAGATGCGTGCCCTGACCACGTTCAATTCTTTTTTATTTCAACTATGTTATCCTTGACGCCCGCTTGATCCTTGAATCACTCTCTCTTTTTACTATCTTTGAAGTTTCCTTCTTTTTAGCGCCTTGCTGCTTCAGCCTCAATTCAATTTGAACCCTCGTTGTAAGCATCTGGGTTTGTGCTGCGTAAGTGGGACTATGGAATTGGAAAATGGACTATGAACTTTGAAGTGAGGTCATCTTGTGCTAGTGTGAATAAGCTAGTGTGTATAATACATTATCGGCAAAGCCACACTGTGATTGTTTTTCCTCACGTAGAGCCCTAGACAAAACAATACAACCAGTCTACTCACAACCGCACATCTTGCCCGAAATAGTCGGTGAAACAGGTATACGTTTTGAAGACACTTAAACGTTAACGGCACATTAAAGGCCTCGCTATAGTACATTCTGGCCTCCGAATTTATATTCAACAGCCTTGAGCAGGAAAATTTAGCCCGGGCACGTTAAGGTGTTCAAGCTTGCTGATTAGCTTAAGAAAAAAGTAACACACGCCTTAAACCCCCAAGGCTCCCTAAAGCCATCATTTAACATCTTCGCTTCCGTCTGGCCACTGTCATTCAAAGCGAGAAATGTCCAGTGGTGGTATTCTCGTCAGCATACAATAAGTGCACATTCACGAAAGGCATTGCCCCGAGAACTAACGCAAGGATGCTTTCATAAAGGACTTAATTTTATCTCTAAGATTATAATAAAAAACAAAAACAATGAATGTTGTAGACGCCTACTCGCACAATAAATTGCGTTGTAGAATTATCCAACGAGTGTTAAACCATCTCAATCTTCGCGTTCCCGATAAAGTACATTTGTTTTGCATGCGCCAACGTCTTCCAGAGACATCTCCTTATATCTGCATATACGTTGTAAATGCTTGTGTTTAAAAAGAGAAGCGCGGTACTGAAATGACGAGGTCAGGACGGAGAGAACACCGGCAATCGCAGCATTCTACCCTTGCTAATTGCATTTGTTTGCTAATTTAGCACTTGGTTATGAATATAAACAAGCGCCACCTTGATCTTGTGATCTGCCTGCACAGAATATTGCAAAACAAGAGATAAAGAAAAAAGATATAATAAATTGAATAATAGTGTCACTGATGTAGACTCTTGGGTATGCGTTTCACAATATATATATATATATACATATACGAGTGTACTTACGTGTATACCTGCATGTGTCTGCGCTTTGGCGCTTTCCACCGCTTGACGCATGATTGGGCCATAAATTATAAGTTGCTCCTTTCCCTACGAAGACCGCTAGGGCAGCGCACGGGTTACTCGATCGTTCACTCATGTGCCTGTCTATGATCTATTCGACTTCTTTTTGTATGATGCTCCTTTCCACAGTGCAGACGCAAAATGCTCTTTGACAAATGGGGCTCGCAGCCCGACACCATCGTTTATGCGATGGGTGACAAGAGATGTCGGGCCTTGAGGGTTGCCTTTCTAAGTCAAACACATCCTGATAACCTCATTACATGTGACAAACACCTGTTGTTTGTTCCACAGCAAGATCAGAGGCAATGATACAAACTCTAGTCGAAGTGGAAGAGAACTAAGTAATTTGCGAGGAATGTGTGCTGTAACTAGAGAAAGATTCTGCAGCGCCCCCCCCCCCCTTTCAAAAAAAAAATCTCATATTCTTCCAAAGCAGGCTTATGCTCAAGGCGACGCCATGAAGAAGCACAGGCTTATCAATTAGGTCGACGACTGTTGCCAACGCCCGATGCTCAATAATTTGAAGAGGTCATGAATGGTCACGCAACAACTTGAGGTTTTCGGCAAAAAAAAACGTAGGTAGAAGGCGGATTACGCATGTACTCGTGTGAAAACTGGACTGTGAAAGATTACTTCAGTCCAAAATAAGCCGTAGAAGTCTTCGGCTTTATACTTCGCCCACCACCGGCGACTGCCATTTTGCCATGGCGTGCATGACGTTACAAACCGATGGGAGCAGTGTTGTCGTCTGCTACCAAACGGCACCATCGGCACGAGGTCAGTCTGTCCAATGTGTTGCGAGTGTTGCTTGTCGCGTGGTGCGCACATGTCGCAAGTGTTGCGAGGTGGTACCGGTAACATCGCCATGTCGTCGGCGCCATCATCAGCTAGAGCTTCGGGCAACGATTCGCCGAGCAGAAGAAGCGGCGACGACGTCTTGTACGCTGCACATTTTGATTTCTACCCCATCACCCCCTGCTCGAGTGACGAAGAAAGTGTTGAAGACGCGGAAAACCCAGACGCCAACGACCTTGGTGTTGTGGCAGACGTTGCTAACTGCCTTCCGCAATGGTGAGTAGCTTTATTTCAAGCGTGACATTTTGACAAGCGAGCTTAACGATTAGGAGATGTTACATACGTGAGCACACTTTGCGCGAATTGGTAAAACGTGTAGATTTTTGTTTCCTAGAATACGTGCGCGCACGACCTATTAAGTGTTGGTAAGAATGCTGTGCGTACTGAGCTTTGCTTTTGCATCTTTCGATATACGTGCAGCATGTATGCAAACATTATCTGAAGTGAACGGCATGTACACAGCGTGACGCTAGTGCAACGCTGGTACTCTCGCTGTTCTGTATGCTCTGGCACCCAACAGCGCAGCACGGGTGACGCGGTGGCATTGCTTCAACCGTTGTAAGTCATTCAGTTCCAGTGGCACGTTGCACAACGCTGAAACAACTCGGTTGCAAGCGCAGCTGACCATGAAACGCAATCCCCCTGCGTACTGCACATTATGCGGAAGGTCGCGGAGCAAGCTATTCGTTATGTCACGGCCAGCGAGCGCGCCAGTTTTGCCCAACCACTGGTTCACTCGCTCATTTATAAGAATATTTGATTATGAATTACCGGCACGACCGAGTGCACTGAAATTTTGCCATCTTCTTTGTGAACGTACAAGCACCAACCCACACAACATAGATTATGGCAAAAAAATGGGTGTCTTGACCCATTTATTGTTGGTGCCTATTGTTCATTGTGTGCGTAATCATATACGAATTGCAAACTGAAAATTTTCTTATGTGTATGTGTGTAAACATTACGTCCCGAGCAGCAGAACAGTGCGATTTTCTAGCAGCCTTCTACTACAGCAAATCTGTCAGGCAGGCTGGAGGCAAGATACCTCGAGTCCCGTTCGGCAAATACGTCAATTCTAGTTCGTGCACTTTTCCTTAGAATGCACACGAATTCGCAAAGCGTCGTGCGTGTATGGTAATGAAGCTAAAATATAAGCTTTGACACTGCAGCAAATTGCCAGGAGGCGAGCTTCTATAGTTTCGAAAAGTATATTGGCTTCGTATGCAGTTTCCTGCATACTACAGAAAACTTCGCGTACTAGAATTGACGTAATTGCCGTAATTACCGTGGTATTTCGCCTTAAGCCTCCCTGACGAATTTGCAGTAGTGGTTGGCCGCTAGAAAGTAGCGCTGTCGCTTTTGCACGGAATGGAGTGTTTACACACATAGATATAGGAAAAGTTTCAGTTCTGCATTTGTACATGAATATGCACACATTCAAGCATACGCACCAACATCCACAGAGGGGCTTCAGCACCATTCAAAAAAAGCTTTTGGCTACGTTCCCTGGACGGTGTTTTGTGAAAGGTCCCTTATTTCTGCTATGCACTGAACAAGTCGCAAAAGGAAACGAAAACCAAGCGAGCTAGAATAAAGGGTTGCCGGGTACATGATTTACATATTCATAACTACTTGCTAACAACAATCAAACACCCTGATGGTGCTATAAAGCTCGCCTTTTATAGATAATGTTTCTTTCAGTGCTGCTTATTGAGGACAATGCTTTTTACGGACACTGATTTTCAGAAACGCCTTAAGGTAGAATAAATATCGTTAATATACGAATGAGAAATTAGCGACGCGGCTCAAGAACGCATCGCAAAGACAGTGAAACCACGGTGAGTATTCTTACCTACAAAAAAGGTAGTTGATATTTCCATTTTATAAAGACGCGGGAAAGGAGTCCTACATACAGTTTTAAAATGCTCAAAGCACCCACGTATAGCGAATACTTTACAAAGTCCATTTACTCTTCCAGTGCGCCCTTCCATTCATGGTGTCATCTCAAGGTGTAAGGCCAAGAGAAGGGGCTATATAAGCGACTCTAGGTTTTCAAGCCGCAACAGATGTTTTAATTAGAACTGATCATTCCACTATTCGTAGAAGACCCACAACGATGCCTGCACACGGCCTTTGGTCACTGCTTTTATTCTCAAGCTCAATACTAATGGCTCTCGCAAATGAGAACAAGGTATGTTATTTCAGGTCATATGTGCTTATCAAATTGTTCCAAAGGACTCCCTCACTTGAGGGGTTAGGATAAATTGTCGTATAGAAGAATATCATAATTTCGTATTTTAATTCGATACTCGTTATATATAGGCAGCATGCCACTCATTCTATTTTTACGTAACTTGTTGGCAACACGTGTAATCACTACCTTGCGGAAACCACACTCAAATGCAACAACGCCTTTCAGAATATTTTATAATACTTACACGTACCTAGGCTTGGCGTGCAAACAGTACAGCCTATTCTGAAACTAACGTGGCCAGTAGTGAAACTGCTATAATCTTGCATGCCATATGCATAAATGCCGTGGCGCCTTACCACAGATGAGACTAGCGACGGCGGCCACTCGAATCACCACTATTAGTTTACAGCGTGTATTGCCTCCACTTTGTATTTTCGTTTCCTGGAAACAAGTTTGCCAGGTGAATGAATTTGCGTAGCAAATACAAGTTTGCCTAATAAATAGCACCAAATGCTGTGTTAAGTACCGTTACGACCATGTGGCAATGCAACAGAGTCAAGGAGGGTAATTCTGGATTAAGAGGCCTGGAATTATTTTATGCGTATTGCTTATTACTTCTTAATTTAAAGCGTATTACTTATTACCGTAATATCAATTTTTATTATTATAGTATTTTTTTCTTTTTTGCAACGTCTGGTGCTTAAACAGTGTGAACAAGTTTAAGTCTTTCACACTGCTGTAATTGTACGTAATTGTACCGGAATACTTCTAAGATATGCTTTCTTAATTTTAATTTCATTATCATCTTCATTCAATCGCGGGACGATTGGCTTGGTGGACGATGTACTTGCTGATTTGCCCTAATTCTTTAAAGTGACACAACGACGTACTGCTGCCGTACGGAAGATCCTGGTTTGCATGAAAGCTGTAACCCGAAAAATAAAGTATTTTCTGTGTTCAGATATTGTAAGAGGCACCTAGATTATCTGAACACACATAGGGCAGGCTCAATACCTGGCATTACAAACAATCACATTGCCAATATTCGTACAGCTTAAGGAAGACAATAACAAAGAAAAATTAGTTTCAATTAAAACTACACCAATTAGAAAATTGGTGCACTTCTAATTAATTCACTAAACCTACATACTAAACCGGTGAACTTGAGGAAATGCATAGCACAGACACCCACTACTTTCAATTCGTAGTTCTCACTGTTTCGTTCACAAAACCACTGATGACGTAGGTTAGAGGTAAGCATGCGGGGTTTGTTGGGGAAGCTGAGGTGCCTCTCGTCTACTAGTGAGCTTCATAAGGTTGTGACCCTCCCTGTAAATGTATTGAAGAAAAAAGCTGGGGAAGTAAAAAAGGAAAGAACTGTTGCGAGTTTGGCAAACCAGTGGCGCCATCGCTTGCGTGGCGTGGTTGCTAACCGCACGTTTCCACAGCCTTTTTAACGACATTACCCCATTAAAGGATCTACTGTGTGATCATTCATGTGATTCACTATATTTACGGCATTCTTTACTATGGCGAGTATTTGAGGATTCCTGGTATTTTTAGGCTTGTACTGCGAATTTTCTTGAGAGCATGATTCCGTCAGATGATATGTACAGACGACCAGCCGCTCCCCCAAAGCGCTATGTTCCTAATATTGGGGCAGCTTTCCCACAATGAAGCTATCAAGTCTTCGTTACCCTAACAGCCAAGCCTAGTCATGAGATGGGCAAATTAGGTCTAGATAGAATCAGCATTGAGAGGACAGTCAAGTCTTAAAACCTTAGGTCGAGCTTCTCTCTTTATTTTCCTAACTTCGTTCTACGCTTTTTTCTACCTACTCCTCTGTTTTTCCGAAACAATTTTTTGTATCATTTTCTTTCGTTCCTGCCTTTGTTTTTTATGTGTCTTGAACTCGTTCTCAGCATCGTAGCAACGTAACCATATAATTTCTTCATTCCTTTAAACCATGAGCACACAGGATTGAACCATGCCTTTCCTAAACATTTCATCAGGTTCATTTCAGCCCTTTTGCTCCACGTCAACTCCGCTTCAGTACTCGTTTGCGTTATTGCCTCCACTTCGTCGTCAATTTTTCTTGACGCTTTACGATCGAACGCCTAACGACGCTTAATGATCGGGTCCTTCCTCATGGCCGCCTCCTTGCCTTGTTGTTCTTCTCTTTACTAGGCTTAAAACTCTACGAGCCCGGGCTCCAGTCTTCACTCCAACTGATCACCGTCATCACTTTCCTTTCCTCTGCTTTCTTTCTCCACCGTCTTCGATGTCTCATTGAGGTCGCAGAAGGCTTAGTAAGGCTAGCCTAATGCTTGTGGCGCATACCTGCCAGGGTTTTTAGCGATGCACCTATGAAGAGCAGCAGCATTCAAACTAAACTCCATGCCGCCCAGAGAGCACATGATATCGCGATGGATCTTCGACTTCCAGTAACATTATGGGTGGAGCCACCGACTTGTTCTAGAGAGGCCTCTGGCACCCTTAAATATCATTCCCTCAGGACTGCAATAAAGTTGAGTTGAATGAACTTTATTTTGCCACCGGTTGTTGCTGCGCCCGCGGCTAGGCTGGTGGGGACACATCGTTCGAAGAACATCTTTCGATGTCCTCAGCGATGGCCCTGCCTGCTGAACGGCCCACACCTGGTCATCGAGGACCTCGCTAAGAAGGGCGGTTTGTCATCGCACAGCAAGGCGTCCCATTTCGGAGGGTTCCTCAGTTGGTGTCATCCTTTCTCGTGGCCTACCTTCGTTTCTTGCTCATTGCCAAAGTATATGTGCAATATCAGCCCGGTCCTGCGCGCACCACGGGCAGCCAGGTGACGGGTGCAGTGCGGGCCCCAGGCGGTGCATATGGTAGGGGTTGCTGAACGTGTCCGTCTGCAGCCTTCTTAGTTCCACCGCCTACAACCTGTCCAGGCGCACATTGGGTTGCGGAAATTTCTTCCGGTATTTTCTATAGTGCCCAAGCACGTCGTGGTATGAGGCACGAAACTCATCCGCATAGTAGCCGACGCAAATCTGTTGCCTTGCTTTTTCTGCGCCAACCTCAGTTACCTCGTAAACAGAGGTGGTGGAGGGGTGATTTTTTCAGTACCGGTGCCTGTGACCACCGCCATGCCTCCGCCGAGGCCCCTCTCAACCATGGTGGAGGCTGCTCGCTGGGTAAAATGCCTCGCAACGAGATTGGTGCGCTCGTTATTATTGGGCGGGATGGCGGTGAGTCTGGCTGGTGGCATTGTGGCTGCTAGTTTTACGGCTGTTGGTGTTGATAGAAGCAGTGTCCCCCATTGTGCGCGGGCAGCCACTTGAGTGTCTTGTCGGTAATCTAGCTGACACGAAGTCCCGAGCCACGGCATTAAGCATGCGTGTTACCTCCTAGGACACTCATAGTTTTATATAGCTCCGAATCACTGATTTAGAACCGCTAATGATCATGGTGTCGTGCGCACCACTGTGGATTAAAGTTAAAGCTATGACCATCTCTTCTGCAGCTTCGGCTGATGACAGCCGCGGCGATGCCGTGATAGGAACCTTTCCCGCTGTACCGAGAACCACCTTAGAAAAGCAGGCGCCGCCGCCACTGCCCGTACAAGCAAGTGATGTTGCCGCTGACACTGCGGTCGTTGTTATCGTAGAAGTAGCAGTGGTAGTGGCGTTAGTGCCTTCACTTCGTCTCGCTTGTTCACGGGTAGCGACGGTGGTTCTGAGCGTCTCCCGTCACTGCCACTTGCTGACAGTGGATGTCTGGCCACATCGACGCTGAGGACGCCCTCTTGGCTTCCTTGTGCTTTCAGGATTGCTGCAGCACTGCATTTGCGTCGTTGCAATTGGTGAATGAGGTGCATCTTCTTAGGGAAGTTTTCTGTCAGTATGGCGTACGTGACTTCCGGTAGCAATGCTTCCTTCAGTCACCGCACCTCATGATATTGAATCTCGAGCAGGTCGAGAATGCGTCTTCCCGTTCGGGTGCCCAACAAACTCTTGAGCTGCGTGATCCTCTGCGCATCCGCTATCTCATGAGGGTGTTGCACACGCCAAGCTCAAGTAGCATATGAGTTTCCGTGTACTGGGGCACACCTAGGGCTACCTTGAATGCCCGATTAACCACTGCTTTAAGCTTCTCGGTTTTGCTTCTGTTCCAGTCGGCGTACGTGGCAACGTAGGCTATGTGGCTCAGCGCGTACTCATGCAATCATTTCACCACGTTGTGTTCCTTCATCCCTTTTGTTCTTTTTTTCGCTACTCCATGCACAAGGTACGTTACGGTGGCTCCTTTCTTCTGCAGTCGTGCAACCAGCTCGTGCTTGGAACCTTTCTCTTCTAGCCACAGGCCGAGCACTCGTATTTTTGAAACCCTTGGTATTTGGTTCCCCTGCTTCGTCGTGATGTATATGCCCAAGCGACGAGCAAGAACTACAGCCTGCGGGTGAGGTTCTTTCTTGCGTGGGCTATGCAGGAGGATTTCCAATTTATTGGGAGAGAAAACGAGTTCCGTGCCTTCAAGGTGCCGCTCCACCTCTCGGATGGCCCTTTGCATTATATCTCTTGCATTTCAACGGTGCTCGTATTTGCTATCGTCCACACGGTCACGTCATCTGCATAGATTGTGTGATTGATGCCCACTATTGCATCGAGACGCTCCGGTTGTCCGATAAAGTTCTTGCCTAATAAATTCTTGTCATGTCATGCAACTCTTAACACGAGGCAGAAAGCCAAAAGCTGAAGCCTAGACAGCTACTTGCTGCCTGCGTCTCATGAAACGAATTGACACAATGCGTGAAATATGTATAGATTTTTTTTTCACAATCTTTCTGTCTAGTACGGTGTTATATGCAGTATGCGAGGTTGAACTGTAAAAGCATCATACGGTGGCAATTGGGTTCCGCTTTGGGGTAAGGTGCATCACCTTCACCGAAGTTAAAGAATTTTTAAAAGCAAGCTTTACTATTCTGTAACTTTTCAGACAAACGCGCTAGGAGATTGGCGATGGACTAGCCCTTGGACGGTGAGCACTTTTTCGACCTTTTACATGCAGCGCAAACAGCATTTACATTCTCTGTACAAGCAATATGACTAGCTTCATTTTCTTCCAGTGATTCCCAAAAATGTGTACTTCTTTGTCCGCAGTTATAAAAAAAACTCACTCGTCTGCAAAATTACAAGTTCTTTGCCTCAGAATACACACCGTGCAATAGCCTCCTGAGACCGAGAATGAATTGAGGGTCATGAGTTTTACAGCGTAAGCTGTTATGAGATCTGAAAACGCGTCGCGTGCGGCGCGGTAGTTGTCCGTAGCCGGTGCCGCCGCAGCCACAGGTGTCAATAATCACTATTGCACCAAATAAAAACAAACTTAGGAAACAAAGATACCAAGAACACGGTGGGGTTCAAACTCAGCTCCCCTGCGTGCTAGCCCAGTGTTCTACCACTCAGCCACGCTGGTGGCTGGGACTCCTTTGCAAAGTGGCCTTAGGCGAGCTTCATGTCGGGAAAGAAATCACGTTTTTACGAGTAATAAAGCATTTTAGAACAGCAATATCGCACAATGTGAGCTGCGCACAGGGTGCCTAGTCTAACGCTCCAAGCTTTTACAAAAGCTATATCTTGTTCACCTATTACCTGTGGCACACAACCACTGAGGGGTAGTGTGAGGATTACAAAAGCTTCTGGCATAATTCTGCATCGTCGTCAGCCACAGCACAAAAAATGCACAACGCTTCATGCAAAAGTGCAGCGGTTACAATGGTTCCAGACGTGTGACGAAAGATCGCATAATGAATGCCTGCCTACTACACAATGATTTATGGCGTAGCGGTCACCCTGCACGTGTACTCACACCAGCTACGGAATGAGCGTTAGAAAAGGGTGCCGAAAGGCCGCTTTTCTAGCATTCGCAGTGATAGTGCTGCGCGTTCCGCGCAGGTATGGTGGTTTTAGATGCGAAGCAGCTTTTTGACTAGCTCCTGTAACGCAGTTTGTCTGTGTCTCTGTGTCGATGCGCAGCACCATCCAACCCCCTCCGCAGCTGCTAGGTGATGCCAAGTGGGTCACGCTCTCTCTTGCAGTGCGCAGTGATGTCACCTCGCTTAGCCCTTTCCACCATTCGCAACGTTGAGGCCAACACTGACTAAATTTCAAGGCCGAAGGGCTGCCGTAGTGACGTCAGAGAGTGGGGGCCCAGTTATGCCGCGAATGCGGCGGAAAACCAATGTTTCGTTCACGTTTTAGGAGAACCAACGCTCCCGCTGTCGCAGCTGCTGCGGCTAGATTGGGCTGAATAAAAGATTCGAGGAAAAATCTTACTGAGCATGTCCAGTAACATAACTGGGACCCACCCTGTGACGTCACTGCCGTAGCCCTTCGGCCTTGAAATTTAGTCAGCGTTGTTCAGGCGCACATCGAATGAACACTGTTTCGGCTTGTTTACCTGCGATGGAGAGGGCGCCGCAAAGCGAAACTTCTTCGCCCGCCGTAACATAAACCAAAGTTATTCAGCCTAACCTGGCCGTCGCCAGCATTGCTAAGGTTAACATACCCAATCGCGTTCGCGAATGGTAACGTCACGCCAGCAACACCGACAAGGCGCAAGCCAGGGAAGCCGATTGATTGATTGATTTGTGTGGTTTAACGTCCCAAAACCACCATATGATTATGAGAGACGCCGTAGTGGCGGGTTCCGGAAATTTTGACCACCTGGGGTTCTTTAACGTGCACCCAAATCTCAGCACAAATCTGAATATGGTGGTTTTGGGACGTTAAACCCCACAAATCAATCATTTTCATCATATATTCCGCATATTCACCGCTATGCAGCGGACATTCCAAGGACTAAACGATAGGTGGCACACGCACTCTTTCTTACGGCTTCCGCTTCGTGTCTCCTTCCCACCTTTAACCACCTCGAGTTCATGGTATGTACTAGTTCATTGTATACATGTCACTGCGGTCAAACGTTCGCTAAAAATCGTCCAGCGCTCAACGCAGCAGCCGCGTTAGCGCCGTTCAACCCATGACACCATTCGTATGGAACGCTGCCGCTTCGCATCCCATTATGCTTCCTTTTGGGAATTGGTAATTTTTTTTCGTGCTTTGCTAACTAGTAATACTCGGGCAATTTCTTGGTGTCTTGGTGCAGCAAGTCAGTTAGCGGCTGTAGAATGTGTGCGCAAGATGGCATGAAGTGCCTATCAAAGTTGATCAGCCCGAAATACTCGCGCGACTTGCGGAAAGAAGTAGGCGAGGGAAATTTTCTAACCACTTGTACTTGTCAATCGAGCGGCAAGATGTTTTGCGGTGTGCTTTTATGACATAAGAAAGATCTTGCTTCAACTCCATATATACGCACTTTTTGGCCTTTAAAACCTGACCGTGCTCGCCGAGATACTCGAAGGAGAGCTGCAGTCGGTTTTAGGGGCGAAGCTCTTTAAACCGGCACCCGTTCGTCCCTCGTAGTCATAGTCGTAGTGTGTAACCAGTGTTACATTTTGACCTGCAAGGTGGTGCCAAAGGGATATTTCTCCTGTGCTTTGTTGAACAATAAAAAGTTCGCGGCGTGCGCGTTAACTAAACGCCGAAAGCTCCTGTCTCTCATTCCCCATTAGCAGCCATAGGCATGTACATTGAGCACTATCTGACAAGAAAGGGTTCTTACGCTATACTCGCTGGATGTAACCTCCTTAGTTTTAGAAAGGTTTAGCAAGCATTGAGCCGCAGTGCCATGAATACAATGAACTAGTATATACCATGTACTCGAGGTGATTAAAGGTGGAAGTAGATACGAAGGGCAAGCCGTAAGAAAGTAAAAGCCGATTTCTCCTGTCTCTCATTTCCCATTAGCAGCCATTGGCATGTACATTGAGCACTATCTGACAGGAAAAGGTTGCTACGTTATACTCACTGGGCGCAACCTCCTTGATTTTAGAAAGGTTTAGCGAGCCTTGAGCCGCAGTGCCATAAGTACAATGAACTACTATATATCATTACTCGAGGCAGTTAAAGGTCAGAAGTAGATACGAAGCGCAAGCCGTAAGAAAGTAAAATCCGAGTTCTCCTGTCTCTCATTTCCCATTCGCAGCCATCGGCATGTACATTGAGCACTATCTGACAGGAAAAGGTTGATACGTTATACTCGCTGGGCGTAACCTCCTTGGTTTCAGAAAGGTTTAGCGAGCGTTGGGCCGCAGTGCCATGAATACAATGAACTAGTATATACCATGAACTCGAGGTGGTTAAAGGTGGGAAGTAGATGCAAAGCGCAAGACGTAAGAAAGTAAAAGCCGAATTCTCCTGTCGTTCATTTCCCGTCAGCAGCCATTGGCATGTACATTGAGCACTATCTGACAGGAAAAAGTTGCTACGTTATACTCACTGGGCGCAACCTCCTTGGTTTTAGAAAGGTTTACCGAGCGTTGAGCCGCACTGCCGTGAATACAATGAACTAGTATATACCATGAACTCGAGGTGGTTAAAGGTGGGAAGTAGATAGAAAGCTCAAGCCGTAAGAAAGTGTGCGTGTGCCACCTTTCATTTAGTCCTTGGAATGTCCGCTGGATGGTGGTGCTTCTATATGGGGAATATATGGTGAAAAGATGCGAGATGGTGGTACTTGGAGTTTTGAATAGATGGACGAATGGACACAAAGACAGATGCATGGATGTACGCATGAACGGACGCAAGGGCGGATGCATAGGCGAGTGCAGGGACGGACGCACGAACAGATGCACGCCCGGATGGACGCATGGACGGTCACAGAGATGGACGCATGTACGGACGGAAGCAAGAACAAATGGGCGGACGAATGCTTCACCCCACTCTCCATCATTCACTCCCTGTATACGCTGCCATTTTTTATGCTCTTCCGTCGTTTGGCTCGTGACTAAAATATTTGAAAATGAACAAATTTTATTTCTGGAGGGATACAGAAAAACAGAGCGAAGCTAAAGGCCATTCGGCCTGACGTAACTTCGCTACGCTAAATGATAAACTTTCAGCGAACAGTGCTACATTGAATAATAATTATCACAATACAAGGAGCAGCATAATAACAGAATACACAAATAGCACAAAAGCATAGGTAGGTGACATTTAAGTACAAAAAATAGGCTGCATAGACAAGACACACAGTATCAGACGTTGAGGCTCTTTTCATTACATATCCAAAAAACACATACACACATATTGATATATTCATAGAATACACTCATATATTCATACATACATCTGCCCATATGTACGTACATACTACTATATGTACACGCGTTTTGTACCTAAAGTTGAGAGTATATGTGAACCTAGCCAGACGTTTATTGGAAACATCATGTTTACTATACTCCATTAAAGAGGAAATGTTTTATGTGATATTTGAATTGCGATAATGAGAGGTTAAAATTTAATTGTTCACCTAAATAATTTATAAGCGGTGGGGTGCGGTATGTAATTAGGGCTCTACCATATCCAGTCGTAGTAGCAGGAACGCGAATTTGTTGTCTCCGGAGCAAGTATTTGAGTGCGCCTTCCTGTGCCGTGAATGTGCGGAGTTTATTTTTATAAATGTAAAGTTATCGCTTATATTCATACACCAGTCTTGCTTTGAGTATACCATGTTTTATGAATAGTGGACCACTAGGGATCTCCCTTGGGTTGCCTTAACAATCATCAAATAAGCGGAGAACTTTTTCCTGTAAGATGTCTAGTTTATTTAAGTTCTTCCCACTTGTAGTGACCCATACTAGCATACTCTAATTCAAACGCGAATAAAAAAGAGCGTAGTATATCTTTTTTTAGCCAAATGAATTTATTTTAAATATACATCCAACAGTCTTACTTAGTTCGGATGCGAGACTATCAACATGGCTTTTCCAAGTCAAATTTTCTTGGAACCACACTGCGAGGAATTTTTGTGATTTAACCTGCTGCAGCCTTTGCTTTTTGAAAAAGATGTAATGTCATTCTCGTACAGCTTGTTGATAGGCTGGAATACCATGTACTTACTTTTAGATATATTAAGCATGAGCTTATTTTGATGAAGTCATTTTTCTAATTTGAGTAAGTAATCATTTACTTCAGTTTCAATGTGCATGATTATTCCACCTGTAAAAAATATGTTGGTGTCGTCAGCGTAAATAATTATTTTGGGGATCGTGGAGTGTCACACAGATCATTATTATATGGTATAAATAGTAACGGTCTAAGGATTGAACCATGCGGTACACCATTTTTTACAGTTTTCATTGGGGAAACAAGGTTAGCCACCTTAACATATTGTTTTCTTTCGGTAAGGCAACTATTTATTAGTTCAGCTGCCACGCCCCTTACACCATAATCATGTAACTTAGATATCAGAATATCATGTTTGACTTTGTCAAAGGCCTTCTTCAAGTCAATGAAAAGAACTATGGTGTAGGTTCTGTTTTCCATGTTTTTTTAATATCTCCTCTTTCGTATCAAATAGCGCCGACTCCGTAGACTTACCTTTTTGAAACACATATCGTCTAGGTAGAAGGAGACAAAGGGCAGTCCGCGAGCGACCTGATTCATAAAATGCTGGAACGTATGTGCTGCATTCTTCAGTGCGTACGACATACGAACAAATTCAAACGAGCCGAAAGGTGTTGCCATGGGCGTCTTCTGGATGTAGCGTCATTCTACTGGAATCTCGCGATAAGCAGCTATCGCATCCAGCTTAGTGAACATGGCCGTTCATGTGAGGCTAGCGCGGGAATGATGAACTTGAGGGAAAAAGTCTGCCGTTGTTACAGCATTGAGAGCCCGATAACAATTGCTAGGCCCCCAGTCACGAGGCTCTTGTTTTGGCACCATCTGCAGCGCAGAAGACCTGATGTTGGAAGAAGGTCGAATAATGATTGATGATTGATTTTTGGGGTTTAGTGTTCCAAAAACCAGGACATGATTATGAGAGACGCGTAGGGGAGGGCTCCGGAAATTTCGACCACCTGGGGTTCTTTAACGTGCACCTAAATATGAGCACACGAGCCTACAACACTTCCGCCTTCATCGGAAATGCAGCCGCTGCATCCGGGATTCAATCCCACGACCTGCGGGTTAGCAGCCGAGTGCTTTAGCCACTACACCACCACGGCGGGGTAATTTCAGGAACTTTTTGGAACATTGTGGGCTGTGAGACATTTTTCATGACCGTCTTCGGTGGGTTGCGTTCAACGCTTGCAAAGAGGTATTGCTGAATCACCCACAAAAAAAATAGTACCTCCTTTTCCTCCGGCTTGGTAGTGTCAGACAGTCAAAAGGGTAGGACCATGTCCTCCGCCAAAATGGTAACTATCATTCGCTAGTTAGGCCTAAGACGTCAGGAAGGTTGTAGCCCTTTGCTCGGATGACTCTTGTGAGCATTTTCAAGAGGGCTTATTGAAAAGTTTTAAGAGCGGAATCCGCATGCTCTAACCAGGCTCTTGCTGCATCTATCAGGTGAAACTACATGAGGTGCAGCTGTCGGTGTCCCAAATGTTGTATATTGAGACCCTTTGATACGTCTTAAGCAAGGTTTCAGGGTATTCACTTGGCGATCCCACAAATGTCTGCGACTTTCAGGGTGGCTGCATCATGATTGTGGCGGGGTACACTGCAGCCTTAATTGTGCCAATTGTGTGCGTCATCGTGGTGCTTGTCCGACCTCTGGTTGGGTACCTTGCAGCCTGTCGCTAGCATATTTTTGCTTTAGGGCTTCAGACTTTTAGTGGTGTTGGCTTGGCTGCCGGCTTTTTACTTGCATCCTTAAAGGAAACTGTCACGCCCCTCCACCACATATTATGGTGTCTCGAAGTTGACGGAAGCCGCAGTCGGCGCGTCCAAGATGAAACTGTTTGTTTGGCTGAACTTTTGCCCGGCAAATCAAAAGTCAGATCGCAGTAATATACATTGTACAATGATAGCAGCGAACACAATGTTCGCCGTTGATAAACTGATAATGGTTATAGCATGCCGTTCTTCATGCAGTGCAAATCGAATTTTCGAATGTTATTTGTTATTTCTGACGCTCGTGCTCGCTCTGGATAAAGCTTGACGTTACGCGTTCTGCATGTGATCTCACCAAAGTAAGCTCATAGAACCACGTACCTTACGCAAAAATTTGACCTAGCCCACGCAGCGCGTTGCTGAGTTCCTGTGGGTCGAAGCACAATATATATATATATATATATATATATATATATATATATATATATATATATATATATATATATATATATATATATAATGTGAAACAAGAAGCGGTTGGCCTAATGTGATGGTGTCTCAAGCAACTTTTACTCGCCATTTTCTTCATCAATGACAGTACTAAAGTCATTATTATTATTAATATTATTATTGTTTTTATTAATATTATAATATGTTATTACGAGGTGCAGTGCATTGGAAGGCCCCTGAAGTTTAACCAGCTAGAATGGTGAAACGTGCTCCTAAATCTAAGTATTCTGGTCTTAGTGATTCGCGCATCCACCAACAGAACGACCGCCACGGCCGGCATTCCATCCCGCTACCTTCGCGTGAGCAGTTATCTCCATGGACACTAGAACCCCGTAGTGAGTGACCAATTAGAATGAAACTGTACAGCGAGACCAATTACACTATTGGGTATTTCGCCTAATGCACAAATATTGCGACCCTGACTTCTTTAGAATGTCATTTGCATGCAGCGTAACAAAATTCAACAAGAGATGATAACGTTAAGGACTAACAAAAATATTGTAGTTTTCCCTTTTGTAGTATTCAAGTTTTCTTTTATTTTTAGGATATGTCGTACTTGCTTTTAATTCACATTTTCTCAGTTAATTCTTTTTATTTTTATACAGTTGTCGAATTTATAGAACACGCCTATAGTTTCTTAACTAAAAGCCATCTGCGTAGCATTTGTACCAAAGAGCAGCCTAATTGTTTTTAGATGTACACATCTAACGCACGTTTACACATTCTTACTTATTCAGTTTATGAGATCAAAAGACATATACTTGAACTTAACGACACTGCACTGGCCACACATCAAATGCATCCGAGCGAAACCCACGTTGAAGAACAAGACTGCTCAAACTCTGTCACAAGATATCTTTATCAAGGTGGCGATTGGAGGAAGCATCACTTGGTGAGCTCTAAAAATTTCATATGCTTAATTGCTGTCCTTTAAATCTTTGCATTTAGGTGACCAACTTCGTATCAAGTAACTACCAATGTGTGAGATGAAAACGTCGGACTCAAAACTTCTCACTTTTGGTGAAACTATGATATCTTATTGCGAGGGCAATTAGATAAACACTCCAGCCAACTTTACCGTGAACGCCAAAGTTTCTCTAAAGCTCTGCATAATTTAGATGTAGCCTTAAGATTGCCTGAAAAATCATCTATTGACACGTGAAGTAAAAACTTAACAGCGCTGTCGACCGTCCGAACTAAATAGGAGGAAAAATGTGCTGACCATCTTCGTCCCTCGAACTGACCATGGCCGGGACAGTGTGTGAAGGTAGCGATTAGATGAAACTAACAGAACCTGCGTATCTCTGGAGTCAGCGGTATCCGCATTGCCCTTGGGCTACAGGTGCGGCACCATGCAATATGAGATGGCTACGGGAGGATTATCAACCCATGAACTCACATAGGTAAAGATAAGACGCATAGACGAGCGCCCCATGATGCTTTCACTGGATGTGGTACTAATCGTTGAATGAATGTATATTGGACCAAAGTACTTTTCCGAATGCTAGTAACTCCCTTTATGTCCTCTACCTCATTTCTTGACGTAGTGCGAAGGCGGGTGGTGTCAGCTGATCGAACGTGCATCAATGACGCCACGCGTAATTCTGCGCGCGTAACAGAAAACTGCTCGAACTTGAATTGAGCTAGAAACTGAACGGCACTCTGAGACAATTTGTCTTGAGCCTGCCTGAGAGATTTGCCACAGATGTGCTGTATCACTAACGAGCAGCGCGCTATCGCGGCTGCACAGGACCGAATGTTTAACGTAGCGACGGTTTGCAAACTGATTACATCGTCGTTATCACTAGCGCTTTAAGCACCACAGAGTTGCTTCTTCAATAGAACAGAAACATTTAACCTCCCATTACGTAGCGCCTGTGCCGCAGTCATGTTAAGACTCCAACAGTACGCAATTTACTTCAGGCGGATGTTGCAGGTGCCATCAGCGTGATCGCAACAAGATATCGAAACTAATACACGCATACACTTTTAGCAAATTTGGAATTATGAAATTTCGTCGTAAAAAAACGTCCTTCAGAGAGTAGCGTTGAAGTGCAGAAAATAGCAGGGCTTTGGTCGTAACTGCACGTTTCATTACTCTGATAATTTTGTTTGGCTGTTTGAGCTCGAGCGTGTTGACGATATGCGGCATTCTAAAACAGCCACTGTATATTGGGCTACATAAAATGCACTAAAATGTAATTTTATTTTGATCTCGCTGAAGGATATTGTGCAATGAATACAATCTAAGTGGCCTACGAGCGAGGACATCATGAACGCACGAGAATGGCAAAGTGTAACTCGCTGCTAGTGAGTTAACAGCTCACCGTTCATCGCTGCTGCCACTAATAAGTGCTGGGGTTTAAAATAATTGTTGGAGGTTAACGTTCTAAATCCACCACTTGATTATGAGACACGCCGTAGTAAATGGCTCCGAAAATTTAGACCCACTTTGGGTTGTTTCACCTGTGCCTAAATATAAGCACACGGGCCTGAAGCATTTCCACCCTCATTAAAAATGCAGCCTCCGCGACCGGGATTCGACCCCACGAGATGCGGGTCAGCAGCCGAATGCCTTATCCACTTCACCACCGTGGCTGGTGCGCACATTTTAAAAAGTTCACCAGAACGTTTTGCGCTGGCGGAGAGGACAGCACGAGATTGATTAAAGTGGGTTACGGGATCAGCTGACTGCATCCGCTCGTCAAAACACAATCAATAGACCGACCACGGAGTCTACTGGCTACGGCACTTGTTGGCTGCAGAAGTAATTCTTGGCAGATTAACAATTGGACAAATATACAACACACAGTCATACGTTTTGTCCACGGGAGAAAGTGCATGGCCACCAATGGCCAGAAACACATTGACACTCTCCTCAGCCATGAAGCTTGGAATGGTGTGGTGGAATGAACTGTGAAAACTTACGCGTGTTCTGACAAAGTAACCATTGAAGTGAAATCATCAGCTATGCATCATTTATTCCAGGAAAATTTTGATAGTTTCTTGATGGCATACCGTAAAGCCCCAAACTGTGCGGAAGGAAATACACTCGCAAAATATTTCTTTAGCGACAACCACGCATAAGTCGTACATTTTGAAAGGGCCCTGCAACACGTATTTAGGCAGCCAAGTGCCTATAGCCTCACAAATTCACCTTGGCGAAAGTTTCTAGACTGCGTCCAGTACAAGCGGATTTACAAAGAATTGTTCTACGCTGCAATGCCATTCTCGTTTCTCTCGTCTCTACAGAAGTACTGCAGGGTAAGCAGGGAGGCATGGCGTGGTGTAAGAAAAACGACACACGCGTCATGTGATTTTGAGCCTTTCTTTTTCCCGAATATTCAACTTTTCAGTGCGATCTAAACGCACGCGTGAAGTCCCGGCGTCCCGCGGGGGGCTTGGTAACCACTGAACCCGCCATGATCAAATCATGTAATGGCTGATACAAACGTTGTAGCGAAGAACTTTTAGGCTTGTTGTGTTATTTTTTGTACGAAGAGAGAGCAATTTCTAGCTGGTTTGAGAATTTTTCTTGATTCGAGGACACGCGCTGCGCTAAAACATGTGAGTCAAGTTTTTTTGGGAGCCTTGACTACCGATCGGCCACGTTTTAGGACCATGTTGAAGAAGTATGACAACGACCCTTTGAAACCAGACTTCTTGACGACAATGTCAGGAACTGAAGAAACAGCGAGATGTGTGTCACAGGTAAGAGTTTATTATTAGGTGAGTGATAAGATGCTGGAGAAAACTGTCCGTTGTGATTGTGCCTAACGGAGGAAAGGCGTTTTTAATTATTGATATGAGGTTTAACGCCCCAAAACTATCATATGATTACGAGAGACGCCATAGTGGAGGGCTCCGGAAATTTCGACCACCTGTGATTCTTTAACGTGCACCCAAATCTGAGCACACGGGCTTACATCATTTCCGCCTCCATGGGAAATGCAGCCGCCGCAGCAGAGATTTGATCCCGCGACCTGCAGGTCAGCAGCCAAGTACCTTAGCCACTAGACTACCGTGAGAGGGCAAAGGAAGGTGTGGTGCATTAAGTTTTAATGCTGCGACATGTCTGATAGAATTGCGTGAACAGCTTCAGCTTGCGCACTCCGACCACATACGGCAGCGCCATGCTCACCCCACATTGTGCCTGTGAACCACGTTCAGAGTCGGACACGTTTCAACGCCTTACGGCAACATCCCAAAAGAAAAATGACCAGCCGTAGGAAACTCTGCCAATAGGTCGGTTCCCAATAAATTGACAGTGGCTAACGGCCTTTCCAGATGAACTGACAGAGCACGTAACGTCGACGTCCGACACAGCGCCCCACCCAGCCTCGCCATCACTGCAAAACCAATTGATACGGTGCATTGCACTCACTTGCCAATCACCAGATTGTTTCCATCACAAAGAGAGCGCAAAATAACTTAAGAAATGTGGGAGGTAAAGAATGTGATAACGTGCATTGCGTGTGGCCTGCAGACATTAGCGCATGAATGACGTCACACATAGTAACGATAAAATATATGTGCTTGACAATAAACAAGCCCTTTGTTTTGTGGTCACTCTTGGTGGGTTATGAGTGCCGTGACAATCCATCTACGAGTGAAAAGTGTGGTGAATTACTTACTTTGTTTCAGATTTTTATGCAACGTAAAACAACAGATGCTAATAGAGGGAAACAATGTTTATTGATCTACCAAAAGCAAATATTATTTCCTTCTTTGGTTTTCATAGGTGGAAACTGTTTATTTACCAATCACTGTTCTGAATTTTCAAAGATGTGTATGCCTTTTGTGTCATTTTTTCTTGCATTTCTTCATTTACCCATGATTTCCTTATTTGCCATGCATCCCGTAGGCATCTAAGTTTTCCCGCAAGCACAATTGATTGTGTATGGGCAGTGGACACCTTATGTATCGACCACAGAGGAGATCAAACGGCGAAAAGCCGAGGAGCGGCTTAGGCACTTCTCTTTAGGAAAATAATAATGGGGCTAGGTATCTATCTGTGTGTGGTCTTTGCACTTTTTTAGCACATGCATAGTATCGTTTGCTTCAACGAACAGCTAAATCACTTCACAAGACCATTTGTCATTGGGTGGTATAAAGTGGTTAACAACTGTTGGAAAGACCTTAGCTGCTCACTTCTTGTAATAAACATTCGATATATGACCTTCCTCAATGACTCACGAATTCTTGTGGTACCCTCACTTGCGAGAACATTACAATCAAAGGTTCTGCTATCCTCTCCGTTTCTACGCTTAGAAATGGGACAGCGTAAGAATATCGCGTTGCTCAGTCTAACGTGGTCAGAAGAAAAAAATCAGTTTCCTTTTGCCAATGTCGATGATGCAGGCGGACTATGTTGTTCGCCACAAGTTCAAAGGATAAGGTAATTAGCAGCACTTTTTCCAGGGGAATACGTTCGACAAAGCGCTTCAGAACGATGTGCTGGCTGCATCGTCCTGACTGTACAAAGACTGCACAAATTGTGTGACCTCAGCCTCCACGCCTAGTGAATTGCTCTACAATTTCCCCAGCTAGTGCTAACTTTGATACTTTGGTGGCCTGCCATTACAGCCTCATGTGCCATTCTGAGGACAATATTTTAGTGGCATTGTGGGAAAAGCAGGTGTCAACTTTCCTTCTTCGTTAGGAAATCTTGGTTATGGAAAGTGCCCTTGATCAAGCAAACTTACGTTCATCTCTATGTGCCCTCTTTCTCAAGCGAGAAAAACGACCCTTCAGTTGCTATCTTCTCTTTGCAAACATCACCAGCGCTTCTGTGGGTCGCATCTAGTGCATTTGATGCAGCTATAGGCAACGCTTGGTGCCTGGCTCCACTTCTGCTCGCTGTACTCAAATTCGTAGGTCTGGTGACATACG